ATTTGAGTTGAATTACTGAAATAAATGAACTTTTCCATGACATTCTAATTTATTGAGATGCACCTGTACATGTGCTATCTAGATCTAGAAAACTAAAATAATATGTTTCCTGTCTTTCAGCCAGACATCCTGGCCATGGCTCACATGTGCAGGCTTACTCCCTCTCCAGCCCTCATTTTCAACACAATCATTGCTCTTATTGTTCTCATTCCGGGAGACTTCCAGGCCCTAGTGAACTACTTCAGGTATAGTGCCTGATTTTGCATGACTTTTAACCATAGACTGTATAAAAACATGGACGTAGTGTCTGTGTTGTTGAGAAAAAGTGCTATATGGCACCTCTTATGGTTCTACATGGCACCATTTGACAAAGGTGCTATATAGCACCTGTAAAAATAGGAGCTAAATAGCACTAAAAGTGGTTCCCCTATGATTACAAGCCAAAGAACCGCTTTTAGTGCTATATAGCACCATTTTTTTTAGAGTGTATACAGCTGATACTTATTGTATTTAAAGCAGAATGTCTGAAGAATAAGTAATGTTGAAACTAGGAATGCACCTTGTTTCCCTCTATCAAAACAATATGCACAGAACATACCTGTCGAAGTGCTAAAAATGCACTGAAATGGTCAAGTTGAGGGACATTATCTTTCTCTCAGTAGTCTATTCATAAGATTCTATTTTTGAATCAGTTTCAGGGATATTTGCAAGAAGGGATTTTGTTCATTTTAACTACGAAGAGTTACCAAGCTACCAAGAGTTCAAACACACAGTATTGTAACATGTTTGAATCAAATCCTAGACCTCATAGGGAAAAGTGATTGCTTTTACCACACATTGCATTCACATCAATAAACCAAAATTTGCCTAATCTGGATTCATTATTAGAATTTATTTTTCTTTTCTTTTTTTTCTTCTTTTTTTGTTATATAATGTGAGCGTAGTCTTAGTGCTAAAGGGCATATTTGGTATAACCACTGATAATACTTCAAACATTTAAGGTCTCTCACACTTGAAATAATTAACACTGGTTAATTCTAAACCCCAGGTAAATGGGATCCTGGGTAATCGTATTTTACATTGTACACTGTTCATACTTTACCTAGAGTTAACAATTAATCCTCGTCATTCATAATCTGATGCGTCATACTGTACATTCCTAAACCCTGGGTTACTGTTATTATTTTCATTGGCAGCAGTGTTGACTAGATAAACGCGAAACCACATTTGGTGTGAAAATGGGTAGGATACAACAATTTGGACATGGAGCTGCACCAAGATGTAGGACTAAACCATACAGGGCCTTAAAAACATTTCTAAGGAACAAGAATCTAAAATCATATTAATATAACTTTAATACATCTTGAGTTACAGGCACACACATTTTTGAATAAGAATATTTATGACACTCAAACAGGTATGTCCTATACATTTTTTTTTTGATAGAGGGAAACAAGATGCATTCCTAGTTTCAACATTACTTATTCTTCAGACATTCTGCTTTAAATACAATAAGTATCAGCTGTATACAAAGTGACCAACATTTGGTTTGCAAGCACTGAAAATAGAACCCTTATTGAGACCCCCATATCTCTGGGACTGAACAATGTAGGGCCTTGAAAGTGAAGATTCCAAAGGAAACTTTATTAAGAACTAGAATCTAAAATCATATTGCTATATCTTTAATATTTATTGAGTTATAGGCATGCAAACTTTGGAAAAATAATATTTATGGCACTCAGACAGGTATGTTCAATGCAGTTGTTTTGACAGAAGTAAACAAGATACAGCTCTAGTTTCAACAGTTCAGTAACAGTTTCTATGAAGCCCATATTTATAATACATTATAAGGGTATTCTTAAGGCATTATAATGAATGCTTAATGCATTATAAAAACCTTACAATATGTTATATCATCTTATAAATAATCATAACAACAATTATAATACATTATAATGCTTACACATTTGTGGTTATAACTTTTAAGATTATGATTATTTATAATATATCTTGACATTGTTTATTTAAGATCTGCACAGTATCTTACTACATCTTGTAAGTGGTTAGGTGTGGCGTGTTATTTGAGTGTTCCCTGTGAGGCTAATATTAATTTTGATGTGAGATAGTTAATAATTTCAACTGAAATAAATGCAGTGCTTATGTGTTAGGTTACATTTTATTTTGATGGTTCCCTTAGTCTATTGACCATAAGCAACTTTGCAACTACTTGTCAACTAACTATCATTAGAGTATTAGTAGGCTTAGGCAAAGGTTAGGTTAGGTAGAATGTTGACGAACTTGCAAAGTTACTTATAGTAAGTTTGTCTGTTGGGGAACAATCAAAATAATCAAACTGATATTACAGTAAAAATAGTTCAAAGCAAATGTGTCATATTACACATTCATCTGATTTGATATCTTATCTTATGGCTGTTTCAGAAAAGAAAAAAAATATTATTATTATTATTATTACTATACTTATAAGTGGTATTTAATTGCTTTAAGTAAAGTAGCATAAGAAAGATGGCAAGATATGCGACTTACAATACATTATAACTATGAGAAATATAATCCATTGTAACTTAAGTGGATGCAATGTGTTCACTGTGTTATAAATCATCATACTCTTAAAAGCTATAACTTTCACAATTTGCCTACTGGAGTAGCGAGGAGACGAGGAGTTAATACAAAACGAGAGTCTTTAATCATTCAGGAGGGAAACACAGGGCGAACAGGAACAACGGAGTAGCACAACATGACGTAAGACACCGAACAAGTGATAAGTCAAGCAAGGTGCAGACCACACTATAAATACACAACTCATTGAGAATAATTGGGCAAAAACTAGGTTACTGGGAACACATGGGGAGGAAAACAAACACACTGACAGTCCAAGGACGTGACATATCGCCCCCCTCCCGGAAGGCGAGAAGTTGGGAATTTGGGAGGAGGCTCAGGAGGAGGACGGACACCCGGGAGGGCGCCGGCAGACAGAGTACAGGGCGGATTAGATGGAGGGAGGAGCCAGGGAGACGACAGGAGGGACTTGGAGCAGGAGTAGCTTGGTGGGACCCAGGCCACAGCCATCATGGCGACCCACGGTGGAGCCAACGGAGGGAGGAGCCATGGAGGAGGAATGGCTGACGACTCCAGGGCGCCAACCAACTGCAGCGGAGCAGGTGGCAGAGGAGCCGAGGCAGAGACGGAGAGCCAACGAGCCAGGGTGATGCCGAGGATCCGGGGGGCCAAGGTGGAGCCGAGGGTTCTTGTGACCGAGGCGGAGGCAGAGATCCGGAGATCCACGGAGGAGCTGGAGCACCTGAGGACCAAGGTGGAGCTGGCCGGAGGGAGGAGCCCAATGGAGCCGGTGGGATGGGGAGACGAGGTGAAACCAGAGGAGCGGAGTCCAGAGGCGATAGCAGGTCGACGCCCTACCAAGGTGGAGCCGGAGGGATGAGGGAGCCCGGTGGAGCTGGTGGAACAACGGGTGAGTTGGGAGGTGAGGGAGCTAGGAGCCGAGGTTGAGCCGCTGGGTCTACGGGCCGAGGCGGAGGTGAGGGATGCTCCGGCCCCGGTGACGATGGAGATTGGCAGACCCGCGGGGCTCGCACCGTACCGATGGTGGGCTGAGGGCGGGCAGACGGGGTGCCAGACGACAGCGGTGGAGGAGGCAGGAGCGGACAGGTGGCTGGGCATTCGTGAGCCTCCGGGCTCTCAGGGCTGCCCTCCGGGATCAAAGCATCCGGGAGCGGAGCGCGGAGTGGAGCAGTGTAATTTTGAATGGAGGAGGAGCGGATTTTTAAAAATTCGGAGCGTCGTGGTTTTCACTCGCTCCAAGAGCACTCCACTGCCGCTCCGCCACGAGTGCAATTCATGCGAACGGGCAGTAATATAACTGCATATTTAGAAATAATTCACATGATAAATATATTTAGTTAGCTTGATACAGATGGATCACTCAAATTAGAAAGAATGTGAAGGCTATGATGACAGCAATGGACATGAGCGTGAAGTTATAGTTCTCAAAGAATTTGTTTGTTCCTTCTAGATACTGAATATTTTCGGGTGAGAGAATGATTTAAACAGGTACAACACATTCACGCGCAATCGCTTTCTCAATAATGCTTCAAACAAATGCAATCTTACAGTGTGTAATGTGGTGTTTTGGGTTGTGTTTCTTGTTCATGTTTTCAGCACTTGGGTTCTTCACTACGCTCGCCTTCAGTGCACTGAATCGTTACACAGTGCTACTTCATCTGTAGGCTATCCGATTTCGAATGAGCAGAAATCTGTAAGAAATGCAGCGATCCGTAGGTAAAATAACTGACGAAAACGTACTGTTATTTTCATCCTTCACAAACAAAATGTGCACTGCAAAAAGCACCAATTATACCTTTTAATGCTGACAACAACCATGTTATTAGCTTGTAATGTGGTAGGAAAAGGTTTGCACGATAGTGCTCCAATAAGTAGGGTTGGGTACCGAAATCTGGTGCCAATACGGCACCGGTACCTATATGACCAGTATGTACCGGACCAAAATAAGAACGCGAATTTCGGTGCCTCATTTCGGTGCCACTTCAATGCCTGAACTGTCGATTGAAATATTTGTTCTCTGGTGCTATGAAACTGACGTAAGAAGCATCAGATTCATCAACACGAATGATTAAATTCTAGTTAAATTTAAATACTGCATTCATGGGGTGTCAGAATGATCAGAAAAATTATATCCTGAATGAGAAAACTCATGTGAACGTCGGAAAGCTTTGATGATACAAATCTAAGACATCTTTGTAGTAATGTTACTGTCCATTTTGTTTTCACATTTCAAGATAAATGTGGGGAAATGAGACCATCCGAGAAGCGCGTGAATGCAGCAACTACACTTGCTCTGACGGCAGCAGGTGGTCTACCGTTTGCTTAGCTAGCTACATTAAACGCGCTTAAATTAAAATGCCTAAAACGAAACACTCTAAAGTGTGGCTATATTTCAGAAGAAAGGATTCCGACACCGCAACGTGCAGCAAATATTTTACAACAGTTGCGTGTAAAGGGGGAAACACGTCAAACCTAATGAAACATTTGAGGGCACACGGAATAAACTTGAAAGCAGAGGGATGCACCGTGTTTGACAGCTTGCGGACATCAGCTGGCACTATCAGTGTGGACGACCCCAGCCCCAGTCATACCAACCCTAGCAAAAAGGAGTCCACCAATTATGATGACGACAGCAGCCCTTCCGCAGGTTAGTAGTAGGCTAATGTAATGTTAATTGCAAAATGCAAATCTTGCATTCATGCTAACAAATTATCAAACGATTTGTAAAATATTAATGTAACATGGATTATGTTTATAATTTTGGCTCTCCAGCTAGTAGTACTAGTAGTACTACAGCAGTGACCCCATTTACCATGACAAAGAAGGCTACTTTGAAAAAAAGGAGAAGGTGGAGGAACTCCACAGGGCTGTGACCAAATTTGTGGTGAAGGGACTGCATTCCTTTTCCACTGTGGAATCCCAATTGTTCAGGTAAAAAAAAAAAAAAAAAGTAATGTGAAAAAATTGTTAAATATGTTAAAGGAGAAATATTTTCTTTAACTGATGTGTTATTACATTTGTAAAAAAATATATATTAATATATAATTAATAACAAAAAAAACAAAAAATATGTTAATCCTTAATGGGGAAATGACTGCTGCCCTTAATCCTCACTGCCGACCCCCATCCAGGGATGATCTGTCCACCACTCTTATTCCTGCATGGTACTCCGTTGAGAAACAAAATGTTATTCAGGAGTTAGCACAAGTGAGTAAGGCTGCTATCACATGTGATGGGTGGACCAGTGTGGCACAGGACCACTATTTAACAGTTACTGTGCACTACACCAGTGAAGGCCACATTAAGCAAAAGGTGCTAAACACCAAAGCTGTGTATGAGTCACAAACAGGCCTCATGGTGGCAGACGAGATAAATTGCATTCTGGAGGAATTCCAGATAAACACTAAAGTTATAACTGCCACAGTAGACAACGCCAGCAATATGGATGTTGCACTGCAGAATCTTAAGCTTTTAAAGGTGGGGTGCTTTGCCCACACCCTAAACCTGTTCGCACAGAAGGTTTACAGCATCAGTGCCATTACAAAGTGATGTGCCAGACTTCGATCTATTGTAGTGTGGCTCAGGAGGTCCTCCATGGCTAAGATCGTGCTGCGGGAGAAGCAGCAACTTCTCAATAAGTAGCGTAGTCATTATATATCTCAGAAAGTTATGTTTGTTTCAAGCATCTTCTTCAGTAGATTGTAATTCAAAATTTGCATTTGTGTTTCAGATCTGCCACAACATAACATAATTCTGGATGTCAGAACATGGTGGAACTCTCTTTTCTTGATGGTGGAGTAGTACCAGGCCATCCAGGCAGCATCACTTGACCAACGACTCAGGAAGCCAATGGAGAAAGACAAGTAATAGACAAAAAGATCAGTTGTGAAACAATGAGTAGCAATAGTTGGTTTTTATTCTTATCTTCATATTTTCTTTTTTGTCCCAGACTGGAAAGACTCACAGATGACGACTTCCAGAAAGTAGAGGATTTTGTTAAAATCATGAAGCTGTTGTACACCTCAACCCTCTGTGTATCCAGTGAGAAGTCACCCACATGCGGCCAAATTCTCCCCATACTGACTAAGCTGGAGGAGCATTTCACCGTGGCTGAACAGGACACAGTGTTTATCAATGCTTTGAAAGAGAAAGTCTGGGGAGATCAGGAGAAATTATATCAGGTATTTTCCATTTTCATTTCATTAAGAGCTTATGCTTAAAAAAAGAAAGAAGGCAAATCACAATTTTAACTGTTAGACACTAAATAGTTTGTCATGTTTGATTACAGGATGAAGACATTAAGAACTTCCTCCAGGAGGCCACTTTGATGGACCCTCGCTTCAAAGGCAAACTTGGATGTGCTGTTGCTGCTGATGCTTGGGGCCGGTTGGAGAAAGCAGCAGTTTGCAATGTAACAGAACAGGTATTTTATGCTCAGTCTTATTTCCCATGTGTGTCATGTTACAGTTTCTACAACAAAGTATTGCTGTTTATATGTGCAACATTATTTCTGCAGCTTCCAATGGAGGTCCTTCAGGATCACAACATTGAGGAAGATAGATTGGATGACCATCAGGAGGACAAGTCACTGAAGGCAGAGGAACATGTAAGTAATATTGGAATAGACTATTTAAAATGAATATATTTTTGAAGCAAGTTTGTCTAAACAGTACTTTTTTTTCAGTCTCCATGTCACGAGAAGTGTGCCAAGAAGTCAGCCCTAGAAGAGCTGTTTGAGGATGAGGACCGAGAGTTACTTCAGGCAACAACCTCTAAAAGTGGTGCCATCTCCATAGCTGAACAGGCCCATAAAGAGATTGAGATCTACAAAGGTCTACCTTCAGTCTCATCAGGACAAGACCCTGTAGCTTGGTGGTGGGGGAAGCGGGACAGTCTTCCCATATTGTCTGCACTTTCAAACACATACCTGTGTGTGCAGGCCTCATCGGCAACCATCTGAGAGAGTTTTCTCCTGTGCAGGACATGCAATAAGTCAGGGGAGGTGTCGTATTTTGCCAGAGAAGGCAAATATGGTCATATTTCTGCAAAAGAATTGCTGAAATTTTAAGCTGTTAAATTATTGTAGTTGGGTTAGGTGGCTTTGGTTTTATTGTTGTTGTGTTTTGTATTTACTTATATATTCATGTATACTTTAAACTTTTAATATATTGTTCAATGTAAAGAAATTTTTTGTCCAATAAAAAGGTATTCTTGAGTCATCCAACATCAGTTTGTGGCTTTTTTTAAAGTATCGGTTCAGGCACCGTTTTGGCACCGGTACCGTTTTAAAAGTATCGATTTGGCACCGGTATCGAAAAAACCCCAAACGATACCCAACCCTACCAATAAGCCACTTTGAAACTCTCCTGTTATTTTATTAATTTTAGTTTTTTCTTTTAATATACGTTATGAACAGAACTGTGATATTTCAAACATACTGAAATACTTTAGAACCCGGAGCGTAGCTGGAGCGGAGTGATTATTGAATGCTCGGAGCGCGGTGTCACGTGTATGTTCCGGTCCAAGTTCCTGTCCCCGTTTAGTTTGTATTGTTCCCAGGTGTCTTCAATGTTCATTGTGTCATTAGTTCCAGGTGTTCCTCGTCTTCCCCTCATCAAGTCATGTGTTTAAATAGTGTTCCCAATCCTAGTTTCTTTGTCTGATGTTAAACGTCAATCCATGTGTTTCCGAAGTTCCCCGTGTGTTTAAATGTCTTCTTAGTTTCTGTGTTTGCCGATTGATGATTAAATTCCATATTTGAAGAATTCTCCTGCGTCTCCTCACTCCTTTGTGTTACGTGACAGAACAGCAGACCACAAGAACAAAAGTAAGCGGCGCCTTTCTTACCCGTGTTTATTTTTCGTTTTTTGAATAGTGTTTTGGTTTGGTTTTCCCATTCGTTTCTCCCCGTCCAAATGGAGGAACGAGCGATGTTAGTTCCCGAGTCTAGTCAGCCGGCCATTCCCAAGTCAAGTTCACTGGCCGATCATGTGGCAAGCCCGCCGGCCGATCATGTGGCAAGGCAACCGGACGATAATGTGGCAAGCCCGCCAGACGTTCAAGTGGCACTCGCTCCAGTGTCGGTTCCAACCCCAGAGCTCACTCCAGTGTCGGCTCCAGCCCCAAAACTCAATCCAGTGCCAGCTCCTCGAAAGCGCTTTGCTGTGCCTGCTCCTCCAGAGCACCCTCCAGTGCCAGCACCACGTAAGCGCTACCCTGATCCCCCGTTCAGCCCAGGGAGGGCCCCTGTTCCCGAGTATAGCCCAGGGAGGGCTCCTGATCCCCAATTCAGCCCAGGGAGGGCTCCTGGTCCCCAGTTAAGCCCAGGGAGGGCTCCTGATCCCCA